AATTGAGGAGCGCTTGTTTATCCTGAGTGGGCTCGGAGTCGACCCGGCGAGTGAGGAGAAGAAGGAAAAGAAGAAAGGCAGAGTAAAGAGCGAGTGCCGCCATTGATGGGGTTCGGAGAAGGAATTAGAGAAGAGGGAGGGTTGTTAAACCAGAAATGGTTTGCGGGCGAAAAGCCATGAGAGAGAGAGAAATGTAATGTTGTAATGGTGGTGGCAGTAGCAGAGGAGCATTGGAAACGCTTCCTCTTTTTATCTTTTGAAAACTGTCGCAGTGAAATCCAGAGGAACAACGAAGAAGAAGAAGTAACAACGCTTCCTCCCCGTTCTCCCACGCGCTCTTTCGCTCCTGCAGTCTACTCATAGTACTACTCAATTTTACTTTTATAAATAATTATTAAAATAAAATTGTAAATACTATTCCTAAATTACCCTCCGGCCATTTGGGCCACCATTTCGGCAAGGCTTGGGGATGCTAAGTCTTGGAATTTAAAGTGAAATAACTGAGAAATTATAAAGTTCTTGCAATTAAACAATTTTTAAAAAATTACAGGAAATAGAGTTTTAACGGCAGTGTTGAGTTGTAAATAATTTTATATTTTTTTAACCACTTTTTTGAAGGAAAAGAATTTTAATAAAATATTTATGTGTTATTTACATCTTCTTAGAAGGGATTTTAATTTCCTAGTTATTTCGATTCTATTATATCTAAAAGTGATTCTACAAATATTAAATTTTCATAAAGTAATTCTAAATGATTTTCGGTCTATCACTTTTTTGGATATCAATTTTAAAGTGGTTATTTAAAAAAAATGATTACAAATCTATTTGATTATTTGAAAAGTAATTTTTATTTGTTACTAAAAAATAAGTTAATTCAATCACATTCTAACTTTAAAATTATATATCGTGGTATTGTTTACTCCCTAAAATTTAAAAGAAAAAAAACCTCTAAATTCAATGACAAATTATTATTATTATTATTATTATTTGAAAAGCTAAACCCAATTATACATGTAGCATAAATTTCTAGGAATAAAGTTTTCCCTAAACTAAGGCAGTGAAATGCACGCGCTGCAGTTGGAGCGTGGGATTTCGAAAAGCTCGGAGGATAAAACGGCCGTGACTTATTTTGTCGTTCCACTGCAACGCTTGCACATCATACACGTTAAGGGCATTGTGGGGCCAGCAAGATCTGACGGTCCTGATTGTCCCATCGTGTTTTGCTTTTGATAATCTGATCACCTACCCAATCGAAGCAGACCAACCGTTCGATTAGTAAACGGAAAATTAACGGCAGATTTGACTTTGACAAGGGCTTCCAAATCCAACTTCGGTAGAACCCAAGAGCCATATTTCTATTAAGGATCAATAAGACACATAAAAATTAAAAATTAAGTGTAAATTGTAATTAGTGTAATTTTCATCGGTTCAACTAGAGTGATAGATTATAATAAACAAATTTGTTTTAATACCAACCTGAACATAGTTTAATAGATTAAGATTCCTATGTCGAATTTGTTTTAAGTTATAATCGACTTCGAATGAGTTGAGAGGCTAAGTAAAGTGTTTTTTTTTTATATAAACACTTTTTCGAAACAACAATATGTTGGGTTTGCAAGGAGAGTGCAAATAGATTCCCAAATTAGTTAGGAAAGAGAATAATTATGAATAGATAAGAGATGGACAATTATCTTTATTGGTATGATACCTTTTTGATGAAACCAAAAGCAAAGCCGTGACGGTTATACCCAAGACGGACAATATCATATAAGTACCTCTTTTAAATGGAATGTTATTAAACAAACAATTTTCAGTCCTGCAATTCATACCAATAAGTTTTATTAACTTCTTGTAAATCGTATTTACTTCTTATATGTTTATCTTTATAGCTTAATTAGTAAAGTCTAGAAAGTTTATGCATATATTTGAAGATTTATTATCAACTCCAATCTCTTTGGCTGGCGAATGAAAGAAGGAATGTAAAGAACTCTAACGGTCAAGTCAGAAGTCTGTTGTGTAGAGGTGAGCAAGACTCGTGAAAATTTAAAGAGGTAGAGTAAAAGTAGAAAGTTTATTTATTATTCCTTATTTGCCTTTAGTAGATGATTGACTTGTTTCTTATATTAGTAGTTAGTCAAAGAGATACTAGAACACTAGAGTGTTAGTCATAGGAATTTGATTCCTTGACTTTCTCCGTGCAATTTGCTAAACATGACAGAGTGTTTCAGAGTATTTGAGGTTTTATGTCAAAATAGAAGATACACACTTGACCGTTGAGTTAAGTTTAAAGGGCAACACATTAAATATGTATATTATTTTTTCAAGTTGGCTATAACTAAGATAAATTTAAGCTCAAAAAAATGAAGTATTTGTTTGTTATATTATAAAGTGCCAAAATGTAAGATGTGAGTTTTGATTGGTAAAGCTGTATTGAGTTACTTTACAAGTATATTAAATATCTATGATATTGTATAAGAATTCATTCCCATCATGGAAATTATCCCAAATGGAAGAATGAGGTATAAATTTTTGTCTTATTACAATTGTCTGCAAATGCCAACAAATGGACTCCAATTACTCTCTCTCTAATATTCAACTTCTTTTTTTTATTGCCACCTTTGTATTTGTTTTTATTATCATTTTTATTTTATTTATTGGTTGGGTGAGATTCCTCTTTCATCTCATTCTCTCTCTCTAGAATGGTTCTTTTTCCCCTATTTTTCACTACCTATGAATTCTTCATTGCCAATCAATTGCTCTACCCAACAACTTTAATTTTGCACCAGTCAAGGATGTTAATGAACAAAA